AAGATAAGCAGCACCTTGGGCGACTTTGATAATCTTAAGATCTAAAGTGATTGCCGCGCGAATCGTAAAGAAGAAGACAAACTTGCCGAGTTTCGTGTTCTGAAAAGGAGGGGTGGGGCGCTCTTCATGAAGATTGACTCGAGGTTTGGACGAGGACAGCTTCTCCGCAGTAGATTCTGTCGGAGGAATTAATGTCTTCTTACTCTTTTTACACATGAGATTCGCGCAACACGGCTTTCCCTCTACCTGTCATCATCGGTCGCTTTCTTGGAAAGCCGCCACGCTTTTTTTTAGGCACACGTCAGGTTTCTTTACCTTCGTTCTTGAACGATCAATTTTCCCCCTTTTTTTTTTTTTTTTATATATTATTACTACATAATCGTCATATATATCATCATACTATTGTAATATATTATTATATTACTACATATATTATTGTCATATTATATTATTGATGTAACTATCATCTCTTTTTCTTTCTTTTTTTTCTTTTACGTATTTTATGATTAGACGCGAGTTTAGCGAAAATGTGAGAACAGCCCGGAAATTGCAGCCTACTCGTTTTGGCCCGAAGACGAAAATAGTTGGAAGGTGTGAAAAGAAAAAAAGGGAGGGTCTGCAGAAGGACCGAGAGAGCGAGTGAGGATACCGAGCGCGTTTATTCCGAAACGTGACTTTTCTCCGAGCAAGTTGTTCATTGATCTCACTTCGTGGGTCCTCATTACGCTTTCGGTCCCCGCAAACTCCCCTGCCCGCGTCCACCGCATCTCTTTTCGTCGAATTATCGGTCGCGAGTATCAAGGCATCACTCGATCCGGGGCAGGTGAAATGTTGCAATATCCAAATAGTATATACGATTACATTTCTTCAAGTTTCTTCTCCGAAGTAGGAAGGGTGGGGAAAGTTGTCTCGAGAGTGAAAGGAGAGGCGAGAGTGAGCACTCCGGCGAGTGAGTGAAAAAGGGAGAGAGAGAATGGGAATGCGTGAGAGAGCGCGATAGCCGGGTGGAACCGATTAACGCACTGCAAACGGCGCCGACATCGCCGTAAAAACGATTGTCGAAGTAATGTTTATGAATTCGAACGAAAACGCCTACAGTAGTAAGAGTTTTCGTTAATTCTGGGGAATGTTCTTTTACGGTTTTATTGTGGCCTGGTTTCATCATATTTCTTTTATCCGATCCTTTACAATCGTGAAAATTTGAAAAAAACTCACTTTACATAAATTTTTCTTTCTTTAACATACATACATTTCACATATTAAATATGTTTTGTGCAATCTTATATTGGAAATCAATTCATCAAATGTGTTCTTAATGTGCTATAATGGATTCGGATAAATAAATCTGATAAACCTGGCGGCGTAAATTTGCGATTTCCCAATCCCATTTATTTTATGTTCGCATCATGCGAGAACGCTTTAGTACAGAGTTACTGTGACTGTGTTTTAAAGTGAACACCATGCAATTGTCCGAAAAGATTCTTTCTGACAATGTTCATAGGCGGACTATAGAGTAGAGATTGTAGAATAGTTTTAGATCTTTTCCTTTTTTCTTTTTTATTTATTTATTTATTTGAAAAGCAACCAGATAGCGGAATAGACGTTTTCTATTTAGAAATATCCGAAAGTACAGCGACGTTTTTAGTGCGTTAATGATTGCCCGAGTTAGTAAGTGCCTTTTCTAAACTTTGATTGTCTTCCATATTACAGTGATTAAGACTATGGTGCGAATGCTGAGAGAGAATGACGGTGACATTGTAAAGCAGAGAGAAAAAGAAAGAGAGTGAGAGGAGAATAGAGCGAGGCAGAACCGGCTGAAAATGAGAGAAAGTGGTATGGCTGAGCGCACGCGTTTGCGTGCTGTTGTGTCTCGACAGCAAAATAAATGTGTGAAAAAATAATTAGAGATATATTTTATATTAAATGATACACACATTCACACACATACATACACACATGCGCATACACATACACATATCGAGAAAGAGAAGGTACATTTCGTGCGATTCAATCGTTCGGAACGTCTGCGTCGGTTTCCGATCTGCAGCGTTCCTTTTCTTTTCGGATCGAGGAAAGCGTTTCTTTCTCGTCGCGAGGCTCCTCAACTTCTGCCTTTTATTTTATTTTTACACACACGTGTACACGTTTATATATTTACTGATCGTGTTTATTGCACCCGTGATCGCGACGAGGAGAGAGAGAGAGACTCGCTTTGGCGCGAACGACAGAGCTATAATGACGCCGGTCTATTTTGTATGTATTGTCCTTCCCAATAAAAAAATGTGATAACTATAATACTATAATAAAAAATATGGTAACTATTACATATAGAAATATTTACTATTATTAAAAAAAAGTATGCTATTATAGTGCGCAAACACGAGAGAAGGAAGGGAGAAGAAAGAGAGAAGGAAGGGAGAAGAAAGAGAGAATGAGCGAGAGAGAAAAAGAATGAATGAATAAATGGAAGAAAGAACGAAAGAGAGAACGAAAATAGTGTGAGAGGCGGAAGTCGGAATGCCCGTGCGGGCCGAGCGATTTCTCGAAGAGACATTTTCGATATTTGCAACAATTCGTTCGAGACACAAACTTGAGATTTGCCGAAATTAAAACAAAATTTATCACCCGTTCATCAATCTTGGGAAAACGCTGACCCCGCGTCGCTTCGACGTGAATTAATAATTACAAAAAAACTGTAAGCGCCTGCTAAATGACGTGGTTTTCGAAAAATCGAAATCATTCTGTATATAAGCGCTAAACTCTTCTTATGCTTAAAAAAAAGTTTTTCGTTTAATTTATACTTGAATACAAACCTTGTTATTATAGATTTACTTTATTATTATTATTATTATTATTATTATTATTATTATTAATATAATTATTTTTTATTATTAATAATTATTATATTGCTATTACTTTATATTATTATTATTATTATTATTATTATTATTATTATTATTATTATTATTATTATTATTATTTACAAGTAATATCACCGTATAATCAGCGCCATCCATTCACGAATTGAATCTTTAAAAAAGAACTTCAGCCGGTCGCCTTATATTATTCCGCTCTTACTTTTCTCTTTTGCATATAAATAAACGCGAGTGCTTCCTATCCCGCCTTAAAGTGTATCTTACACAGCCAGTCATCGCGTCAATGATGTATCAATTGCTATCATTTTGCGTCACACTATTATATTATAACTATTCTTATTATTATTACTGCTGTTTATCTAACAGCAATCATCCCTCCTTATCAATTGACCATAACTGCCGTCGTCGTGAAATAAAAAAAAGGCCCCTGTTGCTCATCGTGCGCTATTTATATTCAATTGTATTTTGCGTTATATCTAAAGTTTCAAAATTTGTAGTATGTTTCATGCGCTACACGATTAAAAATCAACGAAAGGAGAGAAAGAAAGAGAGAGAGAGAGAGAGAGAGAGAGAGAGAGAGAGAGAGAGAGAGAGAGA